TTTCTCAAATTCTTTATAAAAATTTGATATATCTTGCAAAATTCTAAAAGGTCAACTAAACATCTGATTTTCTAGAAACACAAGTAGGAATATCTTGCAAATTTCTAAAAAGTCATCTGAGTAGTAGATATTTCACAAAATCTTGAAAATTACTGAGCAGTTAATTTTTATGACTTTTCTAAAAAGTCAAATGAATAGTGAAATATTCCACAAAATCTTCTAAATAGTGAAATATTTCACAAAATCTTGCAGCTGAACAGTTGATTTTCTAGAAACAGTCTTACATTCAGTTACAAATTTAAAAAAATGCACAAATCTCTAAAAAGCTAACTGAATAGAGACATATTTCACAAAATCTTTTAATTCTGTGAACGATTTCTTTTAGAAAGGCACATAAATAGTGAAATATTTCACAAAATCCTGCAATTTACTGAATAGTTGATATTCTAGAAATAGTCTTACATTCAGTTACAAATTTAAAAAATATAAAGATTTCTCAAATTCTGTATAAAAATTTGATATATCTTGCAAAATTGTAAAAAGTCAACCAAATGCTAAAATATATCACATAAATAGTGAAATATTTCACAAAATCCTGCAATTTACTGAATAGATGATATTCTAGAAATAGTCTTACATTCAGTTACAAATTTAAAAAATGCAAATATTTCTCAAATTCTTTATAAAAATTTGATATATCTTGCAAAATTCTAAAAGGTCAACTAAACATTTGATTTTCTAGAAACACAAGTAGGAATATCTTGCAAATTTCTAAAAAGTCATCTGAGTAGTAGATATTTCACAAAATCTTGAAAATTACTGAGCAGTTAATTTTTATGACTTGTCTAAATAGTGAAATATTTCACAAAATCTTGCAGCTGAACAGTTGATTTTCTAGAAACAGTCTTACATTCAGTTACAAATTTAAAAAAATGCACAAATCTCTAAAAAGCTAACTGAATAGAGACATATTTCACAAAATCTTTTAACTCTGTGAACGATTTCTTTTAGAAAGGCACATAAATAGTGAAATATTTCACAAAATCCTGCAATTTACTGAATAGTTGATATTCTAGAAATAGTCTTACATTCAGTTTCAAATTTAAAAAATACAAAGATTTCTCAAATTCTTTATAAAAATTTGATATATCTTGCTAAATTGTAAAAGGTCAACCAAATGGTGAAATATTTCACAAAATCCTGCAATTTACTGAATAGTTGATATTCTAGAAATAGTCTTACATTCTGTTACAAATTTAAAAAATGCAAAGATTTCTCAAATTCTTTATAAAAATTTGATATATCTTGCAAAATTCTAAAAAGTCAACCAAATGATGAAATATTTCACAAAATCTTGCCATGCACTGAACAGTTGATTTTCTACAAACAAAGGTAAGAATATCTTGCAAATTTCTAAAAAGCAAATTTTTCTATTCAGGACTATTTCACAAAATCTTTTAATTCTGTCAACGATTTCTTTTAGAAAGTCACATAAATAGTGAAATATTTCACAAAATCCTGCAATTTACTGAATAGTTGATATTCTAGAAACAGTCTTACATTCAGTTACAAATTTAAAAAATACAAAGATTTCTCAAATTCTTTATAAAAAATTATAAAAATATCTTGCAAAATTGTAAAAAGTCAACCAAATGCTGAAATATATCACATAAGTAGTGAAATATTTCACAAAATCCAGCAATTTACTGAATAGTTGATATTCTAGAAATACTCTTACATTCAGTTACAAATTTAAAAAATGCAAATATTTCTCAAATTCTTTATAAAAATTTGATATATCTTGCAAAATTCTAAAAGGTCAACCAAATGGTGAAATATTTCACAAAATCTTGCCATGCACTAAACATTTGAATTTCTGGAAACAAAAGTAGGAATATCCTGCAAATTTCTAAAAAGTCAACTGTAAATATTTCACAAAATCTTGAAAATTACTGAGCACTTAATTTTTATGACTTTTCTAAAAAGTCAAATTAATAGTGAAATATTCCACAAAATCTTCTAAATAGTGAAATATTTAACAAAATCTTTTAGAAAGGCACATAAATAGTGAAATATTTCACAAAATCTTGCAATTTACTGAATAGTTCATATTCTAGAAATAGTCTTACATTCAGTTACAAATTTAAAAAATATAAAGATTTCTCAAATTCTGAATAAAAATTTGATATATCTTGCAAAATTGTAAAAAGTCAACCAAATGCTAAAATATATCACATAAATAGTGAAATATTTCACAAAATCCTGCAATTTACTGAATAGTTGATATTTTAGAAATAGTCTTACATTCAGTTACAAATTTAAAAAATGCAAATATTTCTCAAATTCTTTATAAAAATTTGATATATCTTGCAAAATTCTAAAAGGTCAACCAAATGGTGATATATTTCACAAAATCTTGTCATGCACTAAACATTTGATTTTCTAGAAACACAAGTAGGAATATCTTGCAAATTTCTAAAAAGTCATCTGAGTAGTAGATATTTCACAAAATCTTGAAAATTACTGAGCAGTTAATTTTTATGACTTTTCTAAAAAGTCAAATGAATAGTGAAATATTCCACAAAATCTTGTAAATAGTGAAATATTTCACAAAATCTGTAAATATTTCACAAAATCTTGAAAATTACTGAGCAGTTAATTTTTATGACTTTTTCTAAAAAGTCAAATTAATAGTGAAATATTCCACAAAATCTTCTAAATAGTGAAATATTTCACAAAATCTTTTAGAAAGGCACATAAATAGTGAAATATTTCACAAAATCCTGCAATTTACTGAATAGTTGATATTCTAGAAATAGTCTTACATTCAGTTACAAATTTAAAAAATATAAAGATTTCTCAAATTCTGTATAAAAATTTGATATATCTTGCAAAATTGTAAAAAGTCAACCAAATGCTAAATATATCACATAAATAGTGAAATATTTCACAAAATCCTGCAATTTACTGAATAGTTGATATTCTAGAAACAGTCTTACATTCAGTTACAAATTTAAAAAATGCAAATATTTCTCAAATTCTTTATAAAAATTTGATATATCTTGCAAAATTCTAAAAGGTCAACCAAATGGTGATATATTTCACAAAATCTTGCCATGCACTAAACATTTGATTTTCTAGAAACACAAGTAGGAATATCATATCCACAAAATCTTGTAAATAGTGAAATATTTCACAAAATCTGTAAATATTTCACAAAATCTTGAAAATTACTGAGCAGTTAATTTTTATGACTTTTCTAAAAAGTCAAATGAATAGTGAAATATTCCACAAAATCTTCTAAATAGCGAAATATTTCACAAAATCTTGCAGCTGAACAGTTGATTTTCTAGAAACAGTCTTACATTCAGTTACAAATTTAAAAAAATGCACAAATCTCTAAAAAGCTAACTGAATAGAGACATATTTCACAAAATCTTTTAATTCTGTGAACGATTTCTTTTAGAAAGGCACATAAATAGTGAAATATTTCACAAAATCCTGCAATTTACTGAATAGTTGGTGTTCTAGAAATAGTCTTACATTCAGTTACAAATTTAAATCTCAAATTCTTTATAAAAATTTGATATATCTTGCCAAATTGTAAAAATTCAACCAAATGGTGAAATATTTCACGTAAATAGTGAAATATTTCACAAAATCCTGCAATTTACTGAATAGTTGATATTCTAGAAATAGTCTTACATTCTGTTACAAATTTAAAAAATGCAAAGATTTCTCAAATTCTTTATAAAAATTTGATATATCAGTTAACAACCTAAATGTTATTAACCTTTTTTTATTTTAACTACACGATTCGTTTTTATTATTTGCAATCTATTCAAAATAAATTGTTTCAAATTTTGAAACTCCGTTTTTGCTGACACCATGTCTGCAATAAATAAAAGTAAAACTGAAATAAAATTGATGACTCTTGCTTTTTATAACTCTTGCTTAAGCTTTAAGTTAAGTTTATTTAAAATTATATTCATTCGTTCTTTGATTGTAAACTAAACAGTTGGGAAATGAAAAGAATAAAATTTAAAATTAAAAGAAAACAATAAAATAAATTAACTGGCGCCCGAGCAAAAAGGATACCTTTTAACTAGCACTGTGTTACATGTTCCAAACACGACCTCAAGAAGCTCATCTGGACACATTTACAACAAGTACAAGTTATTCCAGCCCGACCTAAAGAAGCTCACCGCTGGACACATCACCGTTGGATTTATCAAGACAGCGATTACTACAATTGGTACAGCGGAGGACCACTAGTAGTTGAAAGACAAAAAGGAACAACCCAAAACTGTCGGTAGTAAGATGTGGGGTATCATCATATTAATGTAAGTTAGCATTTAATACAGAAATTAAGTTATAGAAAATAAGAAAGTGGAAAAAGTGAATTAATTAAGAAAATTTAATACAAGTAAATTATTAGAAAAGTGGAAAAAAGAAAAATTAAAATTATCAATAATATTGTGAAATAAGAAGTGAATAACTAGAATTAAATTAAGGAAAATTAAAAGTAATTAAATCAAAGAAAAGAAGTGAAGATAAAATTGATCAACAATTTTACAAGTAATAAATAATAAACTGAAAATAACTAGAATAACTAGAATTAAATTAAGGAAAATTAAAAGTAATTGAATCATAGGAAAGAAGTGAAGGTTAAATTGATCAACAATATTACAAGTAAAATAATTTTGAATACAAAAAATTTTTTTTAAAGTTTTAAGAAATTCTCTGTTACTAACAAAATCTCATAACCCTAATCATGGCAAATCCATCTAACCTAATAAGACCAATGGATCAGATATAGTAATAGAAGAAAGACATAGGAACAACATAGGTGAATTAGATAAGATTCCTGATATTGTCCGATGTTTGAGAGAATTTTCAGGTAATCCTGCTGAGTTTAATTCTTGGAGGAAAAGCGTAGAAAGGGTCCTGGAAATTTATGATAATTTTAAAAGAACTGCAAAATATTTCGGAATATTAAGCGTTATCCGCAACAAAATTATAGGTAATGCAGACGCAGCCCTAGAATCATATAATACTCCTCTTAATTGGAAGAGTATCGTTAAGTGCTTAACACTTCACTATGGGGATAAGCGTGATTTAGGTACTCTAGAATATCAGATGACTTCATTGATTCAAGGCAAAAACTCTATACAAGGTTTTTATCAGGAAGTTTATACCCATCTGTCCTTAATATTAAATAAAATAGGATGTATGGAGATAGGCAAGGAATCAGCTATGTTACTGACACAGACATATCGCGATAAAGCCTTAGATACCTTTATAAGAGGTCTCAATGGAAAATTACCCAAATTATTAGGAATCCGCGAACCATCAGATTTACCACAAGCATTGCACTTATGCTTAAAATTAGAAAACCAAAACTTTAGAGCAGAATACGCCTATAATCACAATAATATTAAACCACAAAGACAATTTCAACCACCTCAACCAAAACGAAATGTTAATTTAAATAAAGCACCATTTTATCCTGAACTTACCCTACAACGGCCTAGTAACGCAAGGCAATGGGACACATTTCAATATCAGAATAATCAAAGGTCATATCGACAACCCTTTTTTAACCCACATTCCCAGTTACACAATCAGCCCAGACAACAATTCCAACCACAAGCTCCATACTTTCAACAAAATTTCAAACCATCAAGACCTACAGCTTCAAAGCCACAAAGACCCGAACCAATGGACATTGATCATTCTATTCAGTCCAAAAACATTAATTACCAAAATAGACCCCGTCAAACAAATCAATTTCATGGCAAAAGGCCTATACCCTCATCACTAAACACCCCAATGCCACATAATAAATTGCAAAGAAATTTTCACATTGCAGTCAATGAAGAACTTCCTTCTAATGATATGTCATATAACCAAAATGACAATTCCAATAGTTACGAAAATAATTACCGACAAGCGATTCAAGACGAAAATCTTCAAGATTACATACAAGATTATTACCAACAAGAAATCGAACAGGGAAATACCCACACCGAAGATTTATCAGATATCCATTTTTTAGATTAGCGCATTCTTCACTTCCATATTTTAAATGTAAAACAGAGAATGGCCAAATATTAAAAATATTAATTGATACTGGCTCTAATAAAAATTATATCCAGCCTTCTCTAGTAACCAATTCTAAATGAAAACCCCTTTTTTGCGAATTCTATATCCGGCAACATACAAATTACACACCACACTTTCGTAAATATCTTCAACATACCAAATCATAAAATAAAATTTTATATCTTGCCGTCGTTGAAATCTTTTCATGGCATTCTTAGTCATGACAGCTTAGAAGAACTTAATGCAGTAATCCATGTAAAAGAACAATACATGTTAATAGATAATGTTAAAAAAATTAAAATTTATCAGCATATTTCCCAATCAATCAATAAGGTTGAACTAAGAACCGACCATTTGAACAAAACCCAAATAGCAAAGCTAGAAGAAGCAATTCACATGTATCCGAATTTATTTACAGAACCTAACCATAAATTAACCTACACTTCTCGAGTGCAGGGAGAAATTAGAACAACTACTGATACACCAGTCTTTTCAAAAACATATCCCTACCCTATGGCACTAAAAAGTGAAATAGAGAAACAAGTACTTGAGCTTTTAAATGATGGAATAATTCGACCATCAAAGTCCCCATATAATGCACCTGTTTGCATCGTTCCAAAAAAATGGATGCATCAGGAGAGAAAAAATATAGAATGGTAATAGATTACAGGAAATTGAACTCAATTACTGTGCCAGACCGTTATCCGATTCCGGAGATAAATGAGGTATTATCAAACCTAGGGGAAAACAAATATTTTTCCGTTATAGATCTAAAAAGTGGTTTTCATCAGATCCCACTTAAGGAAAGTGATATTGAGAAAACTGCATTTTCCATTAATAATGGAAAATTTGAATTTGTACGTCTTCCTTTCGGATTGAAGAATTCTCCTTCAATTTTCCAATGCACTTTAGATGATGTTTTGAGGGAACACATAGGGAAAATTTGTTATGTCTATATAGATGACATAATTATATTTGGCAAGAATGAAACTGATCATTTTCAAAATTTACATAAAGTCTTCCGAACAATAGAATCTGCAAACTTCAAAGTTCAACTCGATAAATGTGAATTTGCAAAACAACAAATAGAATTTTTAGGATTTATTGTAGACATTAATGGTATTAAAACCAACCCCGATAAAGTAAGGGCAATAGTTAATATATCTCCACCCAAAACATTGAAAGATTTAAGAAGTTTCCTTGGTATGTCAGGTTATTATCGTCGTTTTATACGAGATTATGCGAAACTAGCTAAACCCCTGACATCCCTTTTAAGAGGGGAGGATGGACGCGTTTCTAAAAACGCATCCAAAAATAAAAGAATATTCTTGGATCAAGATGCAATAGACTCATTTCAAAAAATAAAAAATTCAATGACCTCAGAGGATATTATTCTCTCACATCCAAACTTTGAAAAAGACTTTGACTTAACAACCGACGCTTCCGAATATGCAATTGGAGCAGTCTTATCACAAGATCGCAAACCAATAACATTTCTTTCAAGAACATTAAATAAGACAGAAGAACATTACGCAACGAATGAAAAAGAGATGTTGGCGATAATTTGGGCACTCACCACATTAAGAAACTATCTGTATGGGTCAAGAAAAATAAATATTTTCACAGACCACCAACCGCTGACTTTCGCTCTTAGCAGCAAAAATACAAACAGCAAAATGAAAAGATGGAAAGCTATCCTAGAGGAATACAATTACGAATTAAAATACCAACCAGGCAAGACCAATGTAGTCGCTGATGCATTATCCAGACCCCCACAAATAAATTCCATGACGGCGACTCAACATAGCTCTGAAAGTTCGTCGCATAACTTAATACCCGCTATAGAATGTCCCATAAATGCTTTTAAGAATCAACTCTTTATATTAGTAGACGACCAGGAAAAATACGAATTTAAAATCCCTTTTCCAACATATCACAGGCATGTTATAAAACAACCCCATTATTCGAAAGAAGATTTAATAACTGTATTAAAGAAGTATTTGAACCCAAGTGTGATTAATGGACTTTTCACAAGTGAACCAATTATGGGAATTATACAAGAATTTTATCCTGAACATTTCAAAAACTTTAAGGTCAGATTTACCCAAAGCATAGTACAAGATATAACAAATGAAAGTGAACAAGAAGAAATAATAATATCGGAACATAAAAGGGCACATCGGAATGGAAAAGAGAACAGAGAACAAATTAGACAAAAATATTATTTTCCCAAAATGGCGGAAAAAACCAATAGAATAGTGAAAACCTGTAAAATTTGTAAGGAACAAAAATATGATCGTCATCCAAATAAACCTAGTTTTGAAGTCACACCAATTCCAAAGAAACCAGGAGAGATAATTCATGTTGACATCTACTCGACCGAGAAAAATCTGGTCCTTACAGCTATTGACAAATTTTCGAAATATGCGCAGGCAAAAATTTTGAAATCACGAGCAATAGAGGATATAAAAGAACCTCTTAGGGAATTAATTTTGGCATTTGGTGTCCCTAATTCAATAGTAATAGATAATGAAAAATCCCTAAATTCTGCTACAATAAAATTTCTGCTTCATGATCAATTTGGAATAAATATTTACACTACACCCCCATACTGCAGTACTGTTAATGGACAAGTAGAAAGATTTCATTCCACACTTTCGGAAATCATGAGATGTTTAAAACCGGAAAAACTTCACACCTCATTTCATGACTTACTTACAAAGTCAATTTATGAATACAACTCCTCAATTCACTCTGTTACTAGAAAAAAACCAATAGAAATATTTTTTGGTAGGAAGTGTAGAAATCAAAAGGAAATAGAAGATGAGCGAAAAGAAATTAGTAATAGATTAAAAGAAAGACAAGAACAAGACTTAGAAAAACATAACAAGGATAGAGATAAAATTAAAAATTATTCAGTAGGTGAAAAGATTTATGTTAAGGTAAACAAAAGGTTAGGATCGAAACTGTCTCCTCGGTACAGAGAGGAAATAGTGAAAGAAGATAGAAATACTACGATTTTAACTAATTCAGGAAAGATAGTTCATAAAAGTAATATTAAAAGGTAAATTGTTCTACAAAATCTTCAAGATTACATACAAGATTATTACCAACAAGAAATCGAACAGGGAAATACCCACACCGAAGATTTATCAGATATCCATTTTTTAGATTAGCGCATTCTTCACTTCCATATTTTAAATGTAAAACAGAGAATGACCAAATATTAAAAATATTAATTGATACTGGCTCTAATAAAAATTATATCCAGCCTTCTCTAGTAACCAAACCAATTCTAAATGAAAACCCCTTTTTTGCGAATTCTATATCTGGCAACATACAAATTACACACCACACTTTCGTAAATATCTTCAACATACCAAATCATAAAATAAAATTTTATATCTTGCCGTCGTTGAAATCTTTTCATGGCATTCTTAGTCATGACAGCTTAGAAGAACTTAATGCAGTAATCCATGTAAAAGAACAATACATGTTAATAGATAATGTTAAAAAAATTAAAATTTATCAGCATATTTCCCAATCAATCAATAAGGTTGAACTAAGAACCGACCATTTGAACAAAACCCAAATAGCAAAGCTAGAAGAAGCAATTCACATGTATCCGAATTTATTTACAGAACCTAACCATAAATTAACCTACACTTCTCGAGTGCAGGGAGAAATTAGAACAACTACTGATACACCAGTCTTTTCAAAAACATATCCCTACCCTATGGCACTAAAAAGTGAAATAGAGAAACAAGTACTTGAGCTTTTAAATGATGGAATAATTCGACCATCAAAGTCCCCATATAATGCACCTGTTTGGATCGTTCCAAAAAAATGGATGCATCAGGAGAGAAAAAATATAGAATGGTAATAGATTACAGGAAATTGAACTCAATTACTGTGCCAGACCGTTATCCGATTCCGGAGATAAATGAGGTATTATCAAACCTAGGGGAAAACAAATATTTTTCCGTTATAGATCTAAAAAGTGGTTTTCATCAGATCCCACTTAAGGAAAGTGATATTGAGAAAACTGCATTTTCCATTAATAATGGAAAATTTGAATTTGTACGTCTTCCTTTCGGATTGAAGAATTCTCCTTCAATTTTCCAATGCACTTTAGATGATGTTTTGAGGGAACACATAGGGAAAATTTGTTATGTCTATATAGATGACATAATTATATTTGGCAAGAATGAAACTGATCATTTTCAAAATTTACATAAAGTCTTCCGAACAATAGAATCTGCAAACTTCAAAGTTCAACTCGATAAATGTGAATTTGCAAAACAACAAATAGAATTTTTAGGATTTATTGTAGACATTAATGGTATTAAAACCAACCCCGATAAAGTAAGGGCAATAGTTAATATATCTCCACCCAAAACATTGAAAGATTTAAGAAGTTTCCTTGGTATGTCAGGTTATTATCGTCGTTTTATACGAGATTATGCGAAACTAGCTAAACCCCTGACATCCCTTTTAAGAGGGGAGGATGGACGCGTTTCTAAAAACGCATCCAAAAATAAAAGAATATTCTTGGATCAAGATGCAATAGACTCATTTCAAAAAATAAAAAATTCAATGACCTCGGAGGATATTATTCTCTCACATCCAAACTTTGAAAAAGACTTTGACTTAACAACCGACGCTTCCGAATATGCAATTGGAGCAGTCTTATCACAAGATCGCAAACCAATAACATTTCTTTCAAGAACATTAAATAAGACAGAAGAACATTACGCAACGAATGAAAAAGAGATGTTGGCGATAATTTGGGCACTCACCACATTAAGAAACTATCTGTATGGGTCAAGAAAATAAATATTTTCACAGACCACCAACCGCTGACTTTCGCTCTTAGCAGCAAAAATACAAACAGCAAAATGAAAAGATGGAAAGCTATCCTAGAGGAATACAATTACGAATTAAAATACCAACCAGGCAAGACCAATGTAGTCGCTGATGCATTATCCAGACCCCCACAAATAAATTCCATGACGGCGACTCAACATAGCTCTGAAAGTTCGTCGCATAACTTAATACCCGCTATAGAATGTCCCATAAATGCTTTTAAGAATCAACTCTTTATATTAGTAGACGACCAGGAAAAATACGAATTTAAAATCCCTTTTCCAACATATCACAGGCATGTTATAAAACAACCCCATTATTCGAAAGAAGATTTAATAACTGTATTAAAGAAGTATTTGAACCCAAGTGTGATTAATGGACTTTTCACAAGTGAACCAATTATGGGAATTATACAAGAATTTTATCCTGAACATTTCAAAAACTTTAAGGTCAGATTACCCAAAGCATAGTACAAGATATAACAAATGAAAGTGAACAAGAAGAAATAATAATATCGGAACATAAAAGGGCACATCGGAATGGAAAAGAGAACAGAGAACAAATTAGACAAAAATATTATTTTCCCAAAATGGCGGAAAAAACCAATAGAATAGTGAAAACCTGTAAAATTTGTAAGGAACAAAAATATGATCGTCATCCAAATAAACCTAGTTTTGAAGTCACACCAATTCCAAAGAAACCAGGAGAGATAATTCATGTTGACATCTACTCGACCGAGAAAAATCTGGTCCTTACAGCTATTGACAAATTTTCGAAATATGCGCAGGCAAAAATTTTGAAATCACGAGCAATAGAGGATATAAAAGAACCTCTTAGGGAATTAATTTTGGCATTTGGTGTCCCTAA